TGTGTGTGTGTGTGCGTGTGTGTGTGTGTGTGTGTGTGTGTGTCTGCTATGTACTGCAGGGAAGGGAGTTGCCGTGAGTGGGAGGATGATGTTTGTGCTTGAGGACTGTATGACTAATTTTTATCCCTGTCAGGATTGCTGGGATAATCTGTAATTTAACAACTGCTGCTTATCAAAAAGCTGCAAATATGTGTAAGCGTAGTTCACAGCACTTGTAATGCTACCTGTTTTTTGTTTTGGTTTAGCAGTAAACGTATATTCATTATTGTAACCAAACATGTAAAATTCTACAAATGTTACTCGCACCATTACAGGGTGGCAAAAACTCAAAAGCCCTTTTAAAATATGGTCTGACTCATTGAACCATTCTATCATTTACATACAATACATCCTGGATGAGGAACAATGAGATGGGGACAAGTGTTCCACCCACTAGCGCCTTTTTAATTGTTTTTCACGTAGCTCTTTCTTACTGTGTCTATAGGGAAAGTAGCTCTTGTCATCTGGTGAAGAGGTATAGAAGGGATTAGAACAGAAAAGGGGGGTGTCTGTCACTGTGAGTACTTGTGCCTATAGCTAAAGCACACACACCGCAGCATGTGTCTGGGGCTTTGAGAACTCCTCGAGTACAGTACATCACCGCACGATCAGCCGCGAGTCTCTTAACTGCCACTGCACAGGGCCGCATCGGCAGGAAAATGTAAAGTGTGGCCATGAAACTAAACTGTACCATACTTTTCCTCACCTTGCCCTGTCAGTTCAACCTTGAAGTATTTCTTTTGGCCTTGCAGCTGTGCAGAAAAATACAGATGTGCGTTTATCTCATGGTGTGTAATCAAAAATCAAAGACAGCATGGCGCACGACTGGCAAAACCTTCATCGAAATAGGAAGTCTTTTTCCAAGGACATTGTATTGTTTACCCGCCTCATCTGTTGCACACAATCCCCACTGCAGGGGTGTTGAGCAGATGCTCTGTGATCTTCTAAACCTTTCAACAGGTTCACACTGTCTGTGCAGCCGTGGCCCCAAAATGAAAGGAAGCTTCTTTACGAAGTGTAGAAACCTTTATGTTCCCGCTGCTTCTGTGCACTGAAGTGCTGGCTAAGGACATAAATTTGCTGTAAAGTTCAGCTCCGGCACATTCAGAGTGCATTGCCCATCATTGGTGCGAACAGATTCGCGTGTTGGAACACGGGATTGCATCCAAGATAGAAAAATAGGATATGTTACAGCATTGAAATCATTTTTGTTTGGCAGGTGTGAGATAATGTTTTATTGGATCGCGCTCAGAATTCAATTGCCATTTCAGCTGATTGATACTTAAATGTCTCCATTTTGTTTTGAATTTAAGATTTTTTTTATTATTTTTTTTACAGTTGGCTCAGTAATTCAATCAATTGTTTAGGATTTGCTTTTGGCTGTCTTTCTAGCTAGGATAGGCTTTAATTCCTGCAGTAGAGCACCATCACCATCATCTGAAGCAACCGACAGTGAGGCAAAGGGTCAGGAGGATTTCGGACTTGATGGCCGGGTTGTTTGTTTGGGCAGTGTCAGTGTGGGCTTCTCCTGACGTCATTTGTCGGGACTTGGCATTGGCTGGCCTGGCCGGTGACATTTGCTTTCCCACCATGTGGCCCCTGTACTTTGAGGCCAGATGGCAGATGATGCCTCCAAAGCAGACGACACACAAACACTCATATGAACGTATCCACACACACACACACACACACACATTTATATAAGCACACACACACGCACACACACTGCTCACAATCAAGTTTCCCTTCACTCAGCAGAGACGGGGGCAAAGAAACAGATCGATTTGTCACCCAAAATAATTTATAAAGTTCTGATAGAATGCCAGAAAGTAAACTTGGGGAAAAGTGGATGTATTATGATTGTAGCTGGGTAGATCGATGCTTTCCTCTCTCTGTGAGGCTCAGCCTGTTTGTTCAGGGTGAAATATCATCATGAAGGCACAGCACACAGCAATT